CCATCTCTCGTTCTGCTTCAACCAACAGTCTATCTCGTCTAGGCCGGCCGTCTCTGAAGAAGGAAACCTCGACAGGTTCACTGACTGCGCAAGAATCCAGCGCATCTCTGGGTGCCCCGCCAAACGCTGCAGCCGACTCCAACGGCAACCTTGCTGTCGCTGGCGATGTCAACATCAATCCATCCTCTGTAGATGATGAAGATCTGAAAATGTATACTCTCCCATTGGAGCTGAAGGACAAAGAGCGCTGGGGCAACAAGCACAACTCTACCCTCTATATTCGCGCAAAGTATCTCCCATACAAGGCCCTTCGACAGCAATTCTGGAGAGCTATGCTCAAGCAGTACGATGCCGATGAGAGTGGCCTGCTGGACAAAGTTGAATTGACTACCATGCTCGACACACTTGGCTCCACTCTGCATGAGTCGACCATCGACAGCTTTTTCGAGCGGTTCGCGGATGCTCACAATGGAGACCTTCTGCTTACGTTCGACGAAGCTGTCATCTGCCTTGAAGACCAGCTCCAGGCCACGGAGGCCAGAGACTCCCGAAAGAACGGCCTCGCATCAGGCACGCAGACTCCCTCGTTGGCATCCGGAATGCTCACACCCATCAACCAGGACAGCTCGACAACATCTATCCCAGTACTTGAAACAAACACACTAGGAAAGGAGGGCGAGGAAGGCGACAACATTCAGATTGATGATCTCGCAGACGAAAAGGGAGAAGAACATGTCATCGAAATCCGTGAATGTCCCATCTGCCATCAACCAAAGTTGAACAAGAGGTCCGATGCTAATATCATTACACACATTGCTACATGCGCGAGTCAAGATTGGAGACAAGTTAACAACATTGTCATGGCTGGATTTGTCACTTCGAGTCAGGCCCAGCGCAAGTGGTACTCCAAGGTTATTACCAAGATCTCATACGGTGGATACAAGCTAGGCGCGAATTCGGCCAACATCCTTGTCCAAGATCGCCTTACAGGGCAGATCAACGAAGAGCGTATGAGCGTATACGTCCGTCTGGGTATTCGATTGCTGTACAAGGGCCTCAAGTCGAACAGCATGGAGAAGAAGCGAAGTAAGTCATCCAGATTTTGTTGATACCATTTCGCATACTAATCTGGTCGCAGTTCGCAAACTACTCAAGTCTCTCAGTTTCAAACAGGGAAGGAAGTACGACGATCCTGCTTCAGCCTCGGAAATCTTACCCTTCATCAACTTCCATCAGCTTGACATGTCTGAGGTGTTGTTGCCAACAGACCAATTCAAGAACTTTAACGAGTTCTTCTACAGAGCATTGAAGCCTGGTGCGCGTCCGTGCTCTGCGCCAGATGATCCCAGAGTCATCGTCTCCCCCTCCGACTGCCGAAGTGTAGTCTTCAACACAATCGACTCAGCACAGGCTATCTGGGTCAAGGGTCGCGACTTCACTGTCGAGCGGCTGCTTGGTGATGCATACCCTGAGGACGCAAAGCGCTACCACGGTGGTTCTCTTGGTATCTTCCGACTCGCGCCGCAAGACTACCATCGATTCCACATTCCCGTTGACGGTGTTATGGATGAACCGAAGACGATTGAGGGAGAATACTACACTGTCAATCCAATGGCTATTCGCTCAGCCCTGGACGTCTACGGCGAAAACGTGCGCGTTGTAGTACCCATTGACTCTGTCGCCCATGGGCGTGTCATGGTCATCTGCATTGGTGCTATGATGGTAGGTAGCACCGTCATTACGCGCAAGAAGGGTGAGCACGTGAAGCGTGCCGAAGAGCTGGGGTACTTCAAATTCGGTGGAAGCACGTTGCTGGTTCTCTTTGAGCCAGGTCAGATGCGATACGACGAGGACCTCGTAGACAACTCAAACGCGGCTCTCGAGACTCTTGTAAGTCGCCGTCTCTTGTAATCAGTTTGCTTTACTAACTACGACAGATTCGCGTCGGCATGTCCATCGGCCACAGCCCCAACAGACCAGCTCATGTTCCCGACATGCGCAAGAACAACCCCACCAATGAAGAGAAGCAGGACGCGAAACGCCGCATTGAGGGCAGCTTTGCACCTCCGGGCGTGAAAGGACCCATGCCTGGAGCTGGGATGTAGAATAGTCCCCACTGAAGTGCAAAAGAAATGGAATACACAAAAGGAAATGGGCAGGCTTGGATATTCAACATTGTTCTGGCGTGTCTGGAGTAACGTGGTCATGAAAGTATGAGAGCATATGGATTGGCGACACGGGTAGTCGCTTGTTCTTGGGCGTTTTTGAGCGGCTGTACCTTCGTTTCCTACGAAGACTTTATTTATATACATGCAGCGCAGCCGCTGCGGATCCTACAGACCATCATCATCTTCTGAATCTTGGCCTACTGCACCCAAGACCGAGTGAGAGCAGCCGAAGTGAGAGCGTTCGCTGGTGTGGGGAGCGCTAAAGGCTCACGTGAACGCGCTAGTCCCAAAACCATTGTTTTGATGATGCTGGCGGCAGGTGCACACACCAGCTTCCTTGCTCCCGTGTGACAACCGTTCCCCTCCACGCCCGACGCCTAAGGATATTCGCATTACCGCCAAATCATTACGAGCCCCAGATAACCAGGCATATACCTAATTGTACGCGTACCAACCTCTCGCCGATCGCACATCCTGCGTAGCTCGCCCCGTCTGCGCTCGCCCGTTTGTCGCGCCAATGCACGCGCTTTGACCGAACTTCAACTCCCCGAAACTCCCGTGACGCAGCAACTGGACTCATGACTACCGTCTTCGCGCGCCCACCGCTCCAATCGCTTCCTATGGCAACAAACCGACCCACGACGCGACGAAGGAGCGCAAGACAAGCCTTCGACGACGATGATGCGCCGGCGCCGACGACCAAACGAGCAAAGGCGGACGTGAATGGGACGAGCAAAAAGGCGACTGCTGCGCCCAAGAAGACAGCAAAGGCAGCTGCATACGACGAGGACGATGATGGCTTCCAATTTTCGCGTCGCACGTCGTCGCGAAGGACTACCAAGGCACAGGCTGTGCTGGCACCAGAACCAATACCCGAGGACGAACCAGCAACATTCGCGCGCGCTGCCGAAGCGCAACCGGCCAAATCTACTGCGCGGCGGAAGAAACAGTCAATCGCGGCAGCCGATCCGGAATCTTCAGACTCGGGAAAGCGGCGGCGTTCAGCGCGCATCTCTGGTGATAGCAGGCAGCTGGAAGTGCGACCCAAGTCTACAGAACCTCCACCGGCGAAATCACGAACAAAGAAGACCGCGCCCGTAGAGAAGGAAAGGAAGAAGCAGACCACACCAGCTCCAGAGGCGCAACCAGAGCCTAAGAGCGCGTATGCAGGCGTGCAAACCCCGACACACAACAAGATACAGGTCGCGAAGAAGCGCGATCCCAACGCTCAAAAGATTATGCTGCCCTTTGCGGACACCCCAGTTATTACGAGGAACAAAGAGATGCGGAAAGGCGGCAACAAAGATGGGTCGAGAAGGAGTAGCACAGGCTTGCGAGGGAGAAGGGCAAGTTCGCTGATTGACAGCGGCCAGTCGAATGGTGAGTCAAGCAATGATGCACAGGAGGGCTGGGCACAGGACCCTAACGGCATGGAAAAGCGCCCCTGGGGATTAGTGGATACTAACGATGTCGCAGCGCTACCGCACTCAGAGGTCGAAGTCCGAGATTTCTACAAATACATCGAGCAAAGCCTACCCGAACCACGACGGATGAAGCAGCTGTTGACATGGTGTGGGTCGCGAGCATTACCAGCAAAGCCATCAGGCGACGTGAAGAACGCGAACGCGATTATGGCTGGTATGTCTAAGCGAAGCAGGGCGGACAAGATGGAAACTGACAGGAGCGCAGCGCGAGCTATTCAACAAGAACTCATAGACGATTTCGCAAGCAAACCCGAGCTTTCAGACTGGTTCAGCAGGGTATGGGGATCAATTCCATCGAGGCAAGAGCATGCGCTAATAGCTGTACAGGAAGAAGTAGCCCCACCACCTGTGGTAAAGAAGCCGAATCCTCAGAACGAGAAGAACCAAGCCACACTGGAGGAATTGGAGGAGGAAGTCAAGCGGTACGTCACAGAATCTGCGTGTTCTATATTTGCTCCATGCTAACAGCGAAGCAGCCTCGAAGAAGAGAAAGCCGCGTGGGAAGCCATCGCATCAGCGTCGAAACCCAAGCCCCCGCCGCCCGCGCCCTCAATACCGACATCAACACCTACACTATCCGAAATCGACACGTCTCTCCTCGATCCCGCCCAAGCCGCCATACTTTCCTCCCTCCAGTCATCACAAATACAACCACCAACGTCAGCATTCACATTCACTTCGCCCACAGCACTACAATCACATCTCACGTCCCTCGCCGACTCGCTAGAACCGCACATCGACCTTTTCGCAGACGGTGTTCATAAGATCGAACAGTATCGCGCAACGGCCGAGCGGGTAGCGGATCGTGTGCTGGGTACTGCGGCAAAGAGGTTGGAAGAGCGGGATCGGGAAGCGAAGGAAAGAGTGGGCACAGAAGGAATTGGCGTAGGCGATATATTGAGAGGCCTTGCTGGTGTACTTGGCGAGCAATAAGAACAAACTTGCTGCAATCAATACCAAAGTTGCCGGCAGGAACGGGCAGGGATTGACAATCCGAACAGACACTCCTAGGAGGTCTCATGAGAATGATCTATGTGGCGCACTTCCTTTGACCCTTTTCACCTTGTTTTAGAGAGACACACCATTGACGCATCTTCGCATGGTGTTTACGGGCTTGGGAATGGACTGGGAGGATACGATATACCCTTCTGTTTTCTTGACTCTTTCGTGTAAATGTTTTCGAGAAGGAATACCATCATACCCATTCTGAGCCACGGCAGGTAACTCATTCGGTCAAAGTAGTGCGCTCGAACATTCTTGAAATGTCATGACAGATCTCGTTTCCAGAACCCTAGATTCAGCTTACATCCTCCTCATCTCTCTTCGTTTCTTCTTCAGTTACTCTCACTCAGCTCTTAACACACCACACAGCCAGCCTTCCAATCTCATCTTCAAGCTTCAGCGCAAACCCCATCGAGATACGCAGGAACAGCAAGCGCTGCTCCAGATAACGAAGGACATCGAGACGGGTATCGACGAGTTGCTCTGGCGAGCGACCGAGCAATTGGGTCCACGCGGCGTCCGAGAGGATAGGCTTACCGCTGCTGATCTGGCCGGTTTCGTCGAGAAGGGGACCGAGCTGCGAGGGTCGAGAGTTAGTCAGAGAAGAAGACGAATGAGTGATTGTGGGAACAGAAGTAGACGAGGACAGGGAGTGACGCACTATCCTAGGATTGATTCTCAGTCCGACAAGCTTCTCACACTGCTTACAAATGACCTGGGTACTATTGGCGAAGATGGGTATACCACAGCACTCATTACTCATGAGCATATTTCGTTTGAACGGCGTGACGATATTGAGTTCCGTGATGATGACACTAAGGTACCCAGCAATGGTTTCTTTGGACCTTTTGTTCGACAGCGAGCGAGCGACATCATCCACATCCGCAAGTGTATACAGTGCTCTCACGGCTGCATTCTCGAAGCCCTCGACTACATCGTCGGCGATTGGGAACGGCGGGTTGACATGCTCTTTCTTCGTCAATCTTTGTGCTAGGGCTCTTAAGCGCCGCGCGTCACCCATGTCAGGGTCGATGTCCACACGTGAGTTGCCGCTGATTGTGAGCTTGGCCATCTTGTCGATGCGCCATCCAGGGTTCGAGATGAGGAGGACGGTTTCTGAGGGGACGAACATAGAGGCCGAGTCGCACATGGAGGAGTATAGGGTGAGGAGGCCGTCGGATGTGTCGTCGAAGATACCGAGTGTTATGAGTTCCGAGGTTGTGCTGTTGCGGTTTATGTCTTTTGGCAAGTTAGTCGTGAACCATAATCGAGGATATCGTAAAGAGAAGAAACACGCACACTTCTTCCGCGCGCCAATACTCTTGACGCATACGAGTAGTTTCGGCTCCTCGACATCATAACCACCATCAGTAAATGTCTTCAGCGTCATCAACCCACTCAGCACTCTGTTGTCCCTCACACCATACGGTCTTTTGAACCTCGTCCCATCATCGCTATTCTCATGCAACATGACATGACAGTGCCTCTCGCCTTCGGGGAATATCGTAGTGAATAGCGGCGCTGTATTTGGTGCTAATGAATTGTACTCTGAAGAGTTGGAGATGTGTACCGTCCAAACACTGAGCAGCTGGCCGAGCTTGAGCTTGTACTGGGTATTACTATACCAAAGGCGGACGGTGAGTGCCCCGGTGTCGTCTGCAAGTAGGATCTTGATGCAACCTTGAGCTGCTTTATGTGATTTGCTGGGTTTGGACTGGTCGTTGAAGTAGACGACACGGCCCATGAGGGTGAGGGTGCAAGGGCCAGGTTCAAGTGTGTCTAGGTCTGCTTCTTCGTAGTCGAGAGTGGGCTTTCATATGTCAGTGATGGGTTTAGATTCATTGAGGGAGACACATTACAGCCCATGTAGTTGCTGTGGTCGCTCCTGCCGCAGGAGTGCACTGTACCTCCCCTGGGGTGAAGACATCACTGCTTTTTGTTGGCGAGGATGAGAAGTAAGATTGAATTGATGAAGATGCGGGCATTTTCTCGTTCGGCACGAGTTCGCGGTGTTGAGTCTGAGGTAGTTGTGGTAAGTTTCAAAGAGGTAAGGATTGAAGTAGGAGCGTTCCTGCTGTATGTGTAGGTGCGACCCGCGTCGGAACCACGATGAGGAAGTCGCACTATCCACCCGAAAATCAGCTGTTTCTCTCATGTGCATCTAACCAGGCAGTGAGGCGTAAACTATGATCATCACTATTGGCTCACAGAAGATGAACAATGTCGCGTATGCGTGCGCATTTGGAAAACAGATTTTTATTGCTTCAAAGAAAGTAGTGAGTTGGTCAAATCAGAGTGTGAGCGATATGTGCTTCTAGAGCTCATGAGTCGTCTGCCAGCTGGCACCATTCAAGATGGGACATGCCCGCCGTCGTTTCGTCATAAGACCTAGAAAAGCTTGTGCTCCAAGGTCATGTCGTTCTCCGGCTCAAGACCGACGCAGGCGCGGAAGATGTTGGTGAGGGCTGCGCGCTGCTTGGCAAGAGCGTTGACCACAGGCGTACCAGGAGGAGTAAGAGGAGCCTTGAGCATGTAGCTGAGGACACTGAGCACGCTGTGGAAGTTGTTGAACTTGCCATCGCCGCCTTCGGCAGTGTGGGCCTTCCACTGGACACGGGTCATCATCTCAGCGACCAGAACCAAATCGATGATCAGAGGTGAAGCCAAGAGAGAGTCCTCGCAAACGTTGAACAGGCTGATGGTCTGGTGGCCGTCGAGGAAGATCTCCGCGTAGTACTCATCAAGAGCGCGCTTGTCGTCTCCAACAGCAGGCATGTACTTGATGACGACGCAGTGGTCGGGGTGCTCGCCTTCCTTGTACAGGACGTTGTTGGCAGCGACCATGTCGTCGACGACGTTGGACTTGGAGATCTCCTTGGAGCGGAACTGCTTCTGAGAGCTAAGGTTCATGCCGTCATTGTTGCCCAAGTGGTTGTAGGAGGCAATTGAGGTGAGCTTGATACCGGCGCTGATCATGAAGTCTACGAGAGCCGACTTCATCTTGGTCTGACCCGATTTGAAATCATCACCACCAATGAAGGCATTGTGCTTCTCGGCAAGCTGGATAGCACCAGGAACGAATGTGTTCTGGGGAGAACCGTTGATGAAGGGAACACCCTCAAGGATGGAGGCCACGGCAAAGACAGTGGACGGGGAGACCTCTTCGTGACCAGATTCGATCGCCTTGAGCAGGTTGTCCGCTGTGTCGTTGACGCCCTCCACGATGTCGGCGTAACGCTCAGTGTTAGCAGTCCACTGCACGATGACCTTGTCGAGACCGTTGGCAGACTTGAAGTCACTAAACTATCGTCAGTAAAGGTGGAATTGATATGCATCGAGTCTTGGCTTACCGGATGTCCTTGCGGATCTGCTCAACATGGGCATTGGAAGCCTTGGTACCTTCGAGAACATTGTCGGCACGTTCCTCCTGGTTGGCAGCAATGAAGTCCGGGTAGTAGATGCTAGGAAGAGGCTTCATGGCGCTCATCTCCTTGCGAACAAGAGACTTGAGGGACGGTGACAGAACCTTGGCGCGGTCCATGGCCTCAGCAAGGTTCATCCCGCTGATGTCCCATCCGCCAACGACGAGGTCGTTGGGGTGGACCATAGGCAGGAGGTCATGGAATGGGATGTGAATCTCTTGACCAGTCTTGCTGTCGACCCCGAGCTTGGTGGTAGATCCCATGATGACCGAACCATAGTAGTTAGCGCCACGCTTGCCCTCCTTGGTCTCCCAAACGAGGTTACGCTTGTTCGCGATGATGCCGGCCGTGACCGTAGTACCGTTATTGCCGCCCCAGCCAACCAGCATAACACCAGTCTTGGGGATCTTGCGGTCGACCTTGAAGTCGTAGAGCGTCTCCTTGGGGATAGCAACATACTTGCCGTCGTCGTTCTTGGTAACGTCGGTGGTACGGTAAGTGTACTTTGACTTGATGGTATCCTCGGTGTATTCTACGTTAGGAGAGCTGACGACAAAGAGATCCTTGGGAGTTGCCTTCGCTTCGAACCCATTCGCGTGACCGACGGCCTCTTCTGCGTGTGGTGCCATGATGATTTAAGTTCTTGTTGAGTTGGTGAACTTAGTTGCGGAAGTCTAAATCCGACGCTGCCCCAGAGGGAGAAGTGCGTCGGCCGGCGAATGGGTTATGGATCCTGTCAAGTGTAAGTAAAGGCGGTCCCCATGGGGTTATGGCGGGGCACATACGAGCTGAGGAGATTGGAAAACGTCTTGACAGCTGGGCAATGGCCCGGGGAAATCTGGGTGTGGTTGATAGAAGGGAGAGAGATTGTAAGCTTGACAGTGGGCTGTTGTTTACAATCGGTGGTGTGTTGCGGTGGGGTGAGAAACGAGGGAGAGAAGTCGCGATATATATGCCTCCCGTGTCCGGCTGACTTAGCAATAATCGTACGCAATCGCTCCCGCTTCCTGCCGGACAGCGTGTTCACCCACCGCTTCTTTGCCTGTACCTTCCATACTCCCCACTTTTCATGCTAATGACTATCGCCGTAGCCGTTCTCGGGACGTACAACACCAATGGCGCGTAGCCGTGGTATTCGCGATGCTCGCCTTGCCCCACTATTTCCCTCACTACCTCAACAAGCAGCAGCGACAACCGCAGTAGGGAAGGTGACGATGTAAGCGACGCGACGAGAGCGCTCTGTTGGCATTAAGCGAAGGCACATTGCATGGACAGCTGTCTCTGCATGCTCGAGTGTACCGCTGTGGGAACTGTTTAATTCCTCCTATGAGCTACGTACTGGACAGGTGTGTAGCTAGTGCTAGAGTACCTAGGTACGGGTACGGAGATACGGACCCCGCCATCACGTGCACAACACTGCGAAGAGGGGATCTCGGGAGCCGGGTGTCGATGTGTAAGAGTTTTCAGGCATATGGGAATTGGCCTGGCGCCAGAATGGCAAGCATGGCATTTGGACGGTGTCTGAGCCACGGACTGTTTCAAAGCACGGTGATGTCGTCAGTCAAGCACTGTGGTAGCACTCGACACGCTGTGTGCGTCAGACATGTTTACGGAACGAAAAAAAAGGCACGCGACACAATCCGCAGCGTATTTTTGTGTGGAGTCTCGGCGATGCAAGACGGCTACTGTTGACAGATGACAGATGCTGCTTGCTGGCAAAGTGTCCACACGAGACAAGTGTTGACATTATTTTCTTGATGTTATTAGCCGCGATGGCAGGCAACATGGGGGAAGACCCTGGGGTCGGCTGGGAGAACGACGAATGCGGCAACCTGCATGGGAAGTTTGCTGATCGACAATCAGCCTCGCCGTTCGCCAAGGGAACCATGTTAGGCCACCATGCTGCATGCAGATGGAGACAGGCACGCAGGGAGATGGGTCTTCCCAGGGCAGCAGTTGGCGCAACGGCATGCGAGCAGTTCGAAACTTCCAGCACCTGCGACATGTCAAGCACTGTGTGTCGCGGGCCACGCCGACCTGAGAACATGGCTGATGGGAACATTGCGGACGAGAAACTGTTGACGTAGCGAAAGGGGCGCTTAGTTATGGATAATTTGTATCTGCAGCGTCGATCGACCAACGAGAACGATGCCGCGTGTGGCCAATCAAGCCCGAGAGTAATGTCCGGCCCTGGTGGCTTACCAGCGCATGGGCAGCAGGCGATCAGAGCCTCAAGCCACCTGCTCGTCGCTGCAGGACTTGGCTATACACGGTGCACGCATCTGGCAAACGTTGTTGCCGCGATTTGCGACCTCCTGGAGCTTGCGAACTCTGTTGGTCTTGGGTCGCAACCGTGACATCGTCACTGCGACGGTGTTGGGTCCGAGACTTTACGCCAGCGACTATGGTTTCATCGCAGCCGGCCGCCTCTGGTGCGTGCAACTGACACGGAGAGGACCACACGATGTGCCCATGCCCAGGTAGCTAGGTACAGGCCGCCGTCCCGTGCACATGGCCATCGAATCATGGAGGCCGCCGGTGCTCGACCACTGACGCCGCATCTCAGGGACGCGCGAGTTACGTGCAGGAGACACAAAGACGCGCAGAAGGGGGCGCGTCGTCCCTTGCGACTGGCTGGCGATTGGGTGTTCATCTCTGATGCCGATCAGCCCTGCTGTGCTCAGCGGGCTGTGGGTGGCCGGCGCTCAGACGCGGTCATTATCTATCTCATGAGGATAATTCATTAGCATCAAATACCCAACATTGCGCGTGTCGATTGTGGGGCCCAGCAGCCTCTTAGACCGCAGGACGCAGCGAGGCTAGCCATTATCCCGCTGCCGTCCCTGGCTGCTAGCCACTTCAGAACGACGCCCGCATGTGCTTCCCCTGATTCAGCAAGGCCCACCCACACCGTTTCTGAGGATCCAACAACCCTGCACCTTTGTTTCTCGGCGCTCCCGCCCATCATCCGTCCTCGACCACCGCCGCATACCTTGCCTGCTCCCACTCCGTGCCACCATCTTCGAGATAGCCTTACGACGATATTCCGCTGGACGTGAACGGCCTTAATACTGAATGTCCAGGCACGATCCGCCTCGGACTCCCTCTCTGAACCAGCACCGGACACGCGCCCAACATGGAACGAATGAGCACGCTTCCGACTATCAAGTGTTCATCCTGCGCGGTGGACATTGACATCCTCCATTTAGCCGACCATGTCTGCGCTGCAGCACCCCCAGCGGGTGAGTACGCCACGAATGCACACTATAACACACACTGATCAGTTGCAGCAACGCCCGCTCCTGAGCCAATGTCGCCCACCTCGACCATCTCTATGGGTTCCCCGCCCTCTATACTGTCGCCCAAGATGAACCGCGCAGCAACCTTTGGCGGTCCCACGTTCAGCAACCGGTCGGAACGTCCAGCGCAATCGGGTCGCATGCC